CGACAAATTACTTGGCACTGATGACTCCACAGTAATGTTTAATATAACTGAAACCAAGACATACCCAGTTGTAGAGGTCTCTTCAAAATGTAACACACAAGGATTCAGCCAGACAGTGGAGGTCCTAGCTTGGAGCTGACTAAGCTGTGGTCAGGTCTACATACTGCCAGTCCTGCAACACATGCTGCAATCACTTTGGAAGAGGAGCAGGAGTAGCAAAAGTGAAACCACACAAAATTCTTGTTTCAGCACTGCCTTCCGCTGTCATTCCTCTTCCCACTCACCACCACCCAGCCAGATAGCCACCTCCTTTCACTGCTGCTCACTCCCATCTGCTCTGATGCTGCCTGCACTTGCTCTTCCAACCCCTGCACCCACAATTCCTCCTGACTCCACTCCTTTCCATGCACTTTTTTTTTTCTTTTTAGCAGATACTCCCCCTGACAAGAGCCAAACACTTTAAACCCGTCAGTTGGCATTTTATTTCCATACCTATCTCCACACCCTGTCCACAGCAAAAGAGAAGAATGGTAGAAGATTAATATCCCTGAAACATCTCTTTCCAGCAATATGTTCATCTACAGCAATATATTGTGCTTTGTCCCTAGGCACTCACTCCTTGTACTAACTGAAAAGAATAAATCAGCAGGGGAAAAAAAGGAATTACAATAACTTACGAGACAGAGAAAAGGCATACAAGATATAGTCAGTTCCCATGTCCACTAGACAAAGGAACAAAAAACATGGTTTAGACAACAGAAGTACAGCTAAACATGAGGAACAATAAAAAATAAATACAGATGGGAAAAATAAAGTAATAAAGTAGGAAAAGGCCTGGTGGACTGAAAGCACAGATAAACAATGAAGAAAAGAGACACAGAGGTGATGAGACCAACATTACAATCCAATGAGCAATATTTTGCTTTTAAAAAGTACTGACAACATACATAAGAGGTATGATTAGGAAACGCAGCATATGAGTACAAGCAAGGAAGTACATGAAGGTAAGTGGTGTTTTCTGGATTATTGACTGTGCAAAGATGACAGTACACAGATCCCATGATTTTCACCAACTATAGCTGACAACTGCTAGAGCCATACAAAGATCAGCTAGGCTGCTCACAAGGACATCTCTCCTCCCCCAACACACCATTACCTCAGGCAACACCATGGCAGAACTGCACTGCTCCCAGTCCACAGCAGCAGAGGTGACTACGTACACCACAGTCCTTTCCACAGATATCAAGCCCCTCCCCAAAGGCAAAGGCAGTGATTTCCTGTAATCCCAGATGAATCTGAACAACATATTATATATCTGTAATGCATACAAAATCAACTCCACCTTTAAATTACCTGCTTTGGAAGGAATTCTGATCAGACCCATATGGACTTAAGAGTTATGCTAATGATTCATATCCACTGAGCTGTGGTCCTAGAAAAGCACTGCTTGTCTTAATTCCCCTTTCCAAATTAATTTCAGTGTATGAAATACAGAACATCTTCCTGTCTGCAAGAATTATATAGGATATATCAAAATTACTATTTTGATTGGCTACCTAAGCTTTCCAAAAGCCAGCTTCTATTTATAACTTGATTTGTATTTGAATCTCACATTTTGGTTAAAATTAATCTTGAGGTCAATGTCATTCTTTGAGATAAACTGAACAGCTAACACTTAACCATTTCTGAAGAACAAATCTGGTTTTGACCTCACTGTTTGTTCTGTTCTTCAGGGAGTTTATCTACCCTTGACCATAGCACTGTAGTAAGACTGGCCAACTGGAAGAGAAGTGAGATTTTAATCATTAGCACACTGCCAAAATCTGAAAGTATAGACCCTTGACCCCAAAATGTTTTGTGAACCAAAACCAGGTTCATGAAAGTACTAAAATAAAAGTCTATGCAAGCTGGTCTTTTAGGTGTCTACTACATGTCTAGAAAATAAATACCACATAGGTTGCATTGACTGAAGAAAGATTCCCCAGTTCAAGAAATGGCCTATCAAAATGCTTCAATATGGATGTTTGGTTAATTTTCCTGAGCATTCATTCATTTTAGAAGCAAACTTACTTTTATCATTGCCATGGATATAGGAACAACTAGATTTCAGGGAAAAAGTGGCTTTAGAGGAAACCAAGAAGTTTAAGATTGCAAGTGTCAGGACTCACATAATTTCAAATTCACCCAGAAGTGTCCATGAACTCCTGGTATTGCAATACAAAAGACTCAAAAAGATGGATTACCTCAGCAATTCATCTGAATGAACACAGCTCTGAACCGAAGTGTTTGCCTTAAAAGATACTCTTTCAACAAAACTGAACAATGATTAAAGATGATCAGATCACAAACAGACTGAACAACAGCAAGATATGCTAATGAATAACTCAGTGTAAGCTATTTTGGTATTTTGGGGCATTAATATACCTCTGTGATAGGGACAAAAACCAAGAGCTAAATCTCTAGACTAACCAAACCATTCTATGGGAGAAGAGACTATCTCAATCTATATAGGTCTATAGTCTTTGTGAAGATTACCTGCTAATTTGCTTAATTGTTGGCAAAATTCTGTGTAGCGATAATGTCAAGCTGGAGGAGTATACATGTGTATGTCCTATGTATGCTGAACCAATGATTCAAGTATAACTATCAGATTCTAGTAGCCACAAAATTCCTAACAAATTAACATTTGGATTTTCTCTTCAGATTCCTTTTAAATCTGAACTCTTGAGAACAGTTTTGCCAAACATGGGAACATCAGAAAGTTATTATTTACTCTCTATATGACATGACTGTGCCTCTGTCTTCAGGGTATCAAACATACCCAAGCAACAAAAACCTGCAGGATATGAGTTCTGAATAACACTGAGAAAATGAGTTAAAGAGGAAGTAGGTTGTATCTTTCAAATTGACAGTCCTGAAGTCCACCTCCTATGTTTCACATATTTTCTTACAGTGACTGTTGGAAGCTGAACTGCTTGCAATGGTTCCTAGATGAGTCTAGGACATTCTGCAGTTAGATAATAGGCTAGTATTGTGTAGGACAAACTTGCTAGCATTACACAAGTATTAAACCACAAGTAACATGAGACCTACCTAATAGAGTATACACCCAAAACTTCCATCTTATTACAGTTAAAGGAGAACCTCAAATAATCAGTGTTTTCAAAAGCTGAAAAATACCTGGCCAGTCTTAAAACTAATTCCTTCAATGACTCCTACCTGGATAGAAGTCTGTTTCAGTACTGGTTGCTAGGAAGTAAGAAATGGCTTGATTTCTCACCCTGTTCTACTAGGCCAGTGAACATTCCTCTTTACCAGGGAGTGTATTCATAGGACAAGAGACAACAGTTTTAAACTGAAAAAGTGTAGATTTAGATTAGATATTAGGAAGAAGTGCTTTGCTATGAGGATGGTGAGGCAATGGCACAGGTTGCCCAGAGAAGCTGTGGCTGCCCCATCCCTGGCCACGTTCAAGGCCAGGTTGGAAGGGGCTTTGAGCAACCTGGTCTGGTGGAAGGTATCCCTGCCCATGGCAAACCAGAAACTTAAGTCTTTCAGCCATCACAGGTAACCAGTAGGATCACAAGCACAGCCTCAGCACTTCCCACATCCTTACATTAGTAGATCAAAGCACCTCACAAAACCACTTCCTAGCCATCCTCCCTCCTCTTTCATGGAGCCAGAGAGCAGTGTCATAGTCTGCTGGCCATGGTGTGAATGGAGAGGAGCGAAAGGCCACCAGTGTCCTACCCAGCTGTTCAGTGACAAAAACAAGACATTTTCTGATCGCTTCAGTATGGAACAAATGAGGGATGCCAATGCAGAGGGCTGTCGTGCATCCACCTTCCATCAGTGCAGCCTTGAGTCCATACTAGGGCCATGGCATTACTCCAAAAACCTTCCCAAATTTTCATTTATTTTTTCAGTTCAGTTTTCAGCCAGATCATACAGCTGTACAAAGCTGAAAGTTGGCACAAGGAAGACAAGAAATACCTTTTGCTCAGAGAACATGGAATCAGCTCCCTCCACAGCAGCTCAATGCTTAGGCTACCTACAAGTGGTTATGGAGATGTTTCCTGACCTGATGGAAGGGAGGTTTGCAGTCCTTCCTCATGCCCCAAGACTACAGCACAAAGTCACGGAACATTTGCAGAAGTACAAAGTAAACACTCCCTTTGCTAAAGTACACAGCTTAAACTGCTGCCTAGCCCTCTGGTTCCAGAACTAGCTCTGTTTTGTCAGTCACAATAACTAAGAAGGAGGGTTTCTCTCTATGTTCAACTGAAAAATCAAGATGACAGCACTGTGAAAGATTCTATTAAGCTGACAGCATTCCTCATGTATGTTTTGGCTTGTATACAGTTCTGAGTTTGATACTTGTAAATGAAACCAGACTGACACAAATAAAGGACTTTCTCTCTTTTTATTCCATGGCATAACTTCTGGAACCATGCCATATTTGGAAAAAACAGCTCCAGAAAGTTAGTGCTTCCATCCATCTGGACTCCACAGGAAGCTGACAGGTTGTAGAGTCCTGCTCCTGAGCAGGAGATCTAAGATAGAAATTACTTTATCAGCTTCCCGAGCTAACACACAGCACACTAAGGGACATGTCAATACTGAAGGAAGGGACTGGAAACCCTGCCAGTATTACTGCTTTCTTTCAATAAGTAGTCTCATGAACACTGGTACTGAAAAGGCTGCAGGAAAAATAAGAGAAAAATTCCCAAGTAAATTAAAGTGAAGTGAAATGGCATATTTAGAAGCTTAACATTTCATCAGACAACCACACTTACTAAGCTAATCAGTTATAAAAAGCATTAGACAAACAAAAAATATTAGAAACACCTTCAAAAGGATGCCAAACAATACACACTATCATTAAAATTTTGGGAATGTTAATCAAGAAAATGCTTTTAAGAACTTCATGTTATGATCCCTTACAAAAAGTGAGGGGTTTCAAAATGACATGTATTTGATACAATATTAAAAATACTTACAACTACTCCACTCTTGGTGACAGTTTCCCGGTACGTAAAATTGCACACTGCCCAAGCCAGGTAATACGTGGACATGAGAGGGGTCTGTGAAAAGTGATCTGTAACCCATCCATCTTCTTCAAAAACAGAAGTTTCAACTGGCATGTTGGACAAAGATAAGTAAGTTGCTTGATGCCTGATGCTGATCTTGAAAGTGGCCTTGTAGATAGGCTCGTCAAAGCAAGGAAAGGCTTTTCTGGCATGAGTAGGAGAAAACTGTGTAACACCAAGAAACCTAGAAAAGAAGCAAACAACAGAGAGATTACTAACTGTGCACAACACTTGATTCATGGACATAGCAAATAAGACACTGCTTGACTACTGTGGAAAAAAAAAACACAAACTGTACAAACTATACAGTGCTTGAACACTGCTTTATCACTTTCTTACTCCCCATACTGCAAACACAATTGATGCAAAGTAATGGTCTACAAATTTGCAGACACCACACTGACATTAAATAAATAAATAAACCCTCACCTTGCATTAAACCAGGTTCTAGCAGTTTTGCTCATCGATATGTGAAAAAAATGTTAGCCAGTATCGGTGATATGATGTAAGGCAAGCACAGTCCTCAGTTCAAACCAGGATTTAACAGCCTCTGGGGAGTTCCCTCTGCCCTGAGACACTGACACTTCACCATTCTTTGGGCACGAGAACTTAGGGTCACATAATACACTCAGGGGGGTTACTGTTTTCCACTGGTGATTACGTATGTACAGGCTGTATGTAGGGGCATCCCTAATGAGACACAGTACCATACAGCACTGCTGTTAATGGGGAAGTCCAAATAACCATTCTGTGAGCTTTACACATTTACAGATATATGCAAGTGATTAAACAAGCACTGAGTTTTAAAAGAAATGCATGTAGAGTTCTACACATGCATTTTTTCTCTCATGTATTTTATAGAGACCAAATCAATGTTCTCAGTTAATGGGTCAAATTAGGAAAGGACCTCTGAAGAAGGAAAATGCATTTATTTTACCACTGTAAAGAATGGGAAGGCTTTAGTTTGACAATAAAATCTCTAACTGTTTTCCATAGAACAAAAGAGATTTTAATCCAGACAGAGAATAGGAAGCATTCTGGGTAGACACTTATATTTACACATTTGGAGAAAACCCATGTGCAATAATCTTTTTTGCAGAAACAAGAAGCCACACTTAAAAGGCTGAATTATGGGGTTCAATAAGAATATTTTCTAGAGGCATGCAGGATAAAAAAATGACTATGAGCCAAGTACATAACTGTAAAGGGAGCACATATGTAGGCTTTTTGTGTAGTATTGATTCATCTCTCACTTTCCAATGTTCCATCAGTGGAAATAACCATGCAATTTTAGATACCAGGTAAACATTTATCAGGATTGTAGAGGTTGACTAATTATCTGTTATTCCTCCGAGGCAAGAGGATGAGTGGATAGATTTAATATAATGAAGACGGTGGCACCTATTATTAATCAGTCTATAAGCACTACTGTGCAATATGATACTCTCTAATGCCAAGGTAGAAAAAAAACATAGGTAGCCCATAAGAAAAATAAAGTATCTAATTAACTTTTCCTAAAACTTTTCAGGGTTTATACATATTTTGGAGCCTCATCTTATAAAAATAGTGAAGAGAGAAACTTCTTGAAATGTTACACTTCTATCTTGCTACAGTGTATCCACACCTGACAGAACTAGATATATGTTTTCCAGTGAAATTATCACCTCTTTCAATAAGGCTAACATGTAAAACTTTTCCACCACTGAAACAGCTACCATTGGTCTTTTCTCTAAGTAAAAAGCCTTATTTGGCTAGTAATTACTGAAGGAATTCATCATACTGCATTTTTCTTGTCTCGTTATAAAGCACAGATTACTAAAATCCTCATTCTGCATCAGGTTGCTTAATGTAAGGCAAAAGTTGGTGTCAGGTATTCCAATGTTAATCCAACAGAATTCCACATTATCAGTGGATTTTTCAGCTGTGCAACTTAGCCAAAACAGCCAATTAAATGAAACAAAGCAACTTAATTTGTATGAAACTATTTCAAGTGGACCTGATTCTGCATTCTAGGCACACTCTAAACAGCCATAGACATCAACAGAAGCTTCAAGTGAGGATGGAAAACTGTACTGCCCTTTTATTAATAAAGTAAGTATTATGAACTTTCCTTTGCAACTAACAATTTTAATGAGCTCCAACACGCATGTAAATACATACTTAGGGAATATGTTATGTATTCTGACACTCTCCAAATAAGGAAGCTTTTTTTTCACCCCACTTCTTGGAGATTTTCTCAGAAGTCTTTTAATATTTGTTACATGTTAGGCCATTGAAACAATCCCTTCACCAGGCTGATAAAAGCTGGTAAACTCTGCATCTTCTGTATTCTCCCAGATAGACAGCTATAGCCACATACACATAACTGGGCAAACACTGGGTTGTCAATATTTCATACTAAAAATACATTAGCTACCAATAACGGTGATATTTATAACATGTGCATTACTATCAAACATTGATTCGCTTGTTGCGCCATAAAACAAAACAAAGAAAAAGTTAGAAACTGCTTCCCAAAGACTGTGTTTAAAAAAAAACCCCAACCACTGTCTATGTTTATCTATTTTTCTGCGTTAGGAGGAAAAAACAAGCAAAACTTCTATAGCATGCCAAAAGTGAAGAGCAGGGTGAGCATTTCATTCACCTCTCCACACACCTCTCTGGGCACTGACATTCTGATCTCCAGTTCCCAAAAGTTTCACCACAAAAAGTTGTACTTCTGAGAATGACAGCCTTTCAGCCTGTCTTCTCAGTATACCCACAGCAGTAATTTGCAGGTCTTTTAATTCCATCTCATCTATTAACGGAAGACATGTGTTTCCTCAACAACCTATCTGTTTTGACATCTTAGTTGTTAGAAGAATATGTCTGTTTGGTTTGTCTGTGTGATGTAAAAACTTTTTCTTTTCATTTATGCCAAAGTTTGATGTTCATTTAAATAATGTGTGAATATTCTTATGGTGCTCTACAGTAGCTCTGTATTAAATGTCTGTTGATTACTGCCAGTAAATTCTGGCGCATAATGCAAAGTAAATTTGTAGCATATCACTTGCATTTTACATTTTAGTGAAAGTAGCAAAGATTTCAGTAAGAAAATAAACACTTTTCTGCAGCTATCAACATTTCAGGCTGATTTATGACTTTCAGCAGTGAAGACCATGGAAAATGAAGCAACTTTAGGAAAAAGAAAAAAATCAAGCGAAGGTATTACTAAGTTTGTGAAGCCTCACAGTTAGCCAGAGTTATTGACTCCTTATGTATAACAAAAGTGATAAATGATGGTTTAGACCCTTTTATAGCAACCACTACTCCAATGAGGTTACTGTATTTTAATCGAATATAAACATGTCAAAAAGCTAAAGCCTTGCTTGAACATTAGGGTCTCCCAGAGCAGGAGAGAAGCCTGCCTATTACAGTAGAAGCCGCTCATGTTTAAGAACTACAAATGGTTATATGTATTCCCTTAAAAATGGGTTATTAATCAAAATGCAAATTGCTACACTGCAAGAGCACAGTCTGAACAAAGAAGTTCCTGGTTTAGAATGTGTATTATTTCCTTTATACTATAGTGAGTTGTTAAGCCTGTGACAGTTGAAAATGAAAACCAGTACTTGAATCAAACACCTGAAACTATAACCAAGCATTGATTATAGTTTTAAAACATTTTACTGAAAGAAATATAAGTGAGCTGGTGTAAAGAAAAAAAAAATCCCTCTGATCCCTGTACAATGTTACCTTACACAAGGTAAGGTTCTTCCCAATATCACCGTATTCAAGTGTATCACAAGGCAACTTGTATGTGAAAAGTTATACAAAAAGTACTGGGAAAAACATTTTAACATTATCACCTTCCATCCTGTGTCTTGAACTATCCTGATGATTCAAAAAGTTAACAGGCTTTTGCTGTTGTTTCTTAAATCATAACTGGGGCACTGGTATTGAACTGTAATATAGTAACTTTGGAAAAATGTCACTGCCACATCTATTTGACAGTTCAATTATTCCTATGCAAAGTCTAAATACACAAGAATAATAACTGCTTAAATAATTTCTTGGGTTTGTAAAGTGAATTATATCTCCTGCTGTTAACCGTATTTTATTCTCTGCTTTGCCCATTTTCCGTACAGGTCTGTAAGAACTCCTGACTACCCCAGTCATCTACCCCTCCGCGATAAAAGGATTTTTATCCACATCTTTTCCTACAACCATGTTTTTTTGAATTTCCATTTTATTTCAACGTGATGACAAATCACACAAACTTCATTTTAATCCTGCTTGCAGTTGGCTGTTTAAAATTGTCAGTAATCACAGTAATGAAAATATGTTTTAATGCAAGGGCTGTTGATTTAATTGAGTTGATGAGCGCTCTTTTTCTCTCTTACTATTTTTGCCCAGTTCTTTCAAGTATAAAAGATTTGCTTCAATTCACAGTATGAAACAGTAAGATTCAGAAGAGAAAACCTGTCACAGCACAGATGTTTCAAGAAAGGGCAGCTTAAAAAGAAACTAACTCTAAAATTATACCGAGAAGCCCATCCGGTATTTGTTTTCCATTGCAAAGACTGGCTATGGTTAGAACAGAAATTAAAAAGACTGTAACTGCCTAAAAGGGAGCCTCCGCAGTGACCCTGCCTACTGTAACAAGGGCCTCGACAGGGACCCAGTGGCTAGAGTCACGAGAGTAAACATAGCTGACGACAGAATCTTGCTCTGCATGAAAACAGTGGAAAGTGACCAGGTTTGCCCTGTCGCGGGGCGTAGATCCGCAGCGACTGCGCTGCAGCAGGTGCCGTGCAAGTGCTCCCCTGATGTGAAATCACAGCCCAACACCTCTTCTTCAAATAATGAAATAGACAAAACAGCGGAGACGTTCCGCTCCCCCACACGCTGCTACCTGTAGCCCGGCACTGCTCTGTCACATGAGGACACACGGCAGCCGGACACAGCGTCTATTCAGCAGACCCTGCGCCTCCGCTCCGGGGTTGCCCTGCCAGGGTCAGTGCTTTACTCCTACCACCCCGGGAAGTTTACCCGCTACCACCGTCCATTTCCAAGCCGCGCCGCGGCAGCTCTCGAACCGCCGGTAACCACCGCAGCCATCCCCGCCCGAGGCGGGCGCGCAGACGGAGAGCTCAGCTCTCACCTGGCGGCGGCCGCGGCTCACACCGGAGCGGCACGGCGCGGCCGCCCGCACGGCCAGCCCCAGCCCGAAGCCGGCGAGGGAGCTCCGCTGAGGCCCGGCCTGCCCGCGCCCACTCCCACATAGCCCCTGAGCGTCGGCAACCGCCTCTGACTGCCCTTCCGACACCGGCCTGTGGAGCGGAGCGGGGAAGGGCTGTCGGCCCCCGAGCGCCTCCGCAGCTCCGCCCCCAGCGTCAGCCCTCAAGCGGCGGCTGGACAGCAGAGGGGACCCCCGGCGAGTCAGGCGGCGGCTGGTGGCGAGGGTTGGCCTGCAGTCAGCTGCCGGCCTGGCTTCCCACTGCCGTGGCGGCCGTCCCCCCCCACCCCAAAGCCCCCTCTGCCCGCAGCCGGCCGAGCCCTGCGCCCCTCAGCATGGTCGGCGAGCCGCCGGTGCCGGGCGGAGCGGAGCCCGCGGCCTCCCCCGCCTGGCGGAGCCGCGGCCCGCCAGGTCCTAGCGCCGCCCCGCACGAAGTTCGGCGCGGGCTGCCGCGGAGGGGCGGGGGCCGCCAACTTCAGCCCGAGTTGAGGTGAAGCAGCGCTGCCGCTTCGCTACCTTCTCTCGCCGTGGAGGACGTAGGAGCTGCGGAAGAAGCCCAGCAACTCGTTCTCGATGAGGGCGTTGTAGATGATCTTGAGGTTGTAACTTTTCTGCACCTCCAGGCTGCGGTTGAGGACGACGACAAAGACCTGGGTCTGGGGGTAGAAGAAGGAACGGTCCACCCGCACACCGCCGGCCAGCTTGTCCTCGGCAACGCGGACCGCCTCGATGTGCATGCGATGCGCGTGCAGCACGATGTACCGGCTGGCGTTGAGCACCTCCAGCTGCACGTTCACCTCCCCGCTGAAGGTGAAGTTCTCCATGAAGGCGCTCAGCATCAGGTTGTAGTGCAGCGGCCGCAGGTGCCGTGGGAGCCGCGGCCGGGTCCAGGGCGGCAGCTCCCGCCGCCGCTGCCACTCCTCCTCCTCCTCTTCCTCCACCACTTCCCCACCCCGCGCTTCCTTCTCCTCCTCCTCCTGCTCCGGCCGGCCAGGGGGTTGCCCTGCGCCGGGCGGCTGCCGGGCCGCCCCCGGGAGGCTCCCGTTGCCGCTGGCCCGCGGCGGGCCGTCGGCAGCGGCGCTGCACTCCTCGAAGCGGACGCTGAGTAGCACGGCGATCATGGTCACCGCCAGCAGCGCCAGGATGGAGACGGCGAAGCCCAGCACCAGGCGCTTATGCACGGCGATGTGCCGCTCCGTAGTGCGGGGTCTCGGCCCCGCCGCCTCAGCCCAAGAGCCCGGCGGCAGCCCACGGCTGCCGTTCCGCAGGGCGGCTTCCTCCTCTATCATCATGGGGGTGACGGGCGGGCGCTTCTCCCGCTTCTCCTCCAGGTCCATCACGGCAGGGCCGCCCCCGTCTCCCACGGGACCTCCGCCACCCGAGGGGGCCCCGAAAGCATGGGAGGCTCCGAGGCAGGGGGCCCTCGGCCCGGGCTGGGGAACGTGCCGCTACGCTGCCTCTTACTTCCCGGAGAGCAGCATGGCCTGCCTACCGGCAGCCCCGCCGGAGAACGGCCCCAGGGCGGGGGAGACGGGACGGGATCGGGAGGGAGCCGCCGGCGGGCGCTCCCCGCTGTCCGGCCGCTGGGGCCGCTCCGCGCTGGCAACTTGTGTGGCTTCTGCGGGGCACTTCAGCACATGCCGCCGAGCGCACCCCGGCGCCCAGGGGGAGGGCTCTGCCGCCCCGGCCCCCCCTCTAGCGCCGCCGCCCGCAGGGAGCTCTCCTCCCCCAGCGCCCCGAGACGCTGGGGCCGGGGTAGGGCTCCGCGCTCGGCCCCGGCAGCGCCCGAGCCATGCGCGCCCCGCGCCGCCGAGCAGGTCCTGCTGTCCCCGCGGGTCTCGCCCGGCTCCGGAGAGGAGGCACCGGAGAGCGGCGCTGAGCCGGGCCCGTCCTCCTCCTTCTGGCGGGGCTGGCTCCGGAGTGTCGCTTCCCGCTGCTCCTCTCTTATTTAGTCTTTCCTATCTCCTGCAGGTACAGAGCAGTCTCCCGGTTGGCTCGGGCAGTGGCGGCTATATATAAGCACCGGGGAGATGCAAGGGAAGTGATGGGATGGGAAGGGGGGAGAGGCGGGCAAGCCCCGCCGCCCCTCGGCTTCAGCGGCTGCTCCGGCTGCCGGCGGTGACGGTGGCGCCCCGGGGGAGCGGGGGCGGGAGGCGGGGGCGAGGGAGGCTCCGCTCCGGTGTGTCACACGCGGTTGCTCCGGGTGAGGTCGCTGAGCGGCGGCGGGAGTCCCGGCTGGGGCGGGCAAAGGGCGAGAGCCGGGGACCGGGCGGGTGACCGGGGCCGGAGCCTTAGAGCGCAGGAACCCCCGGTTCCTGGGTACGCGAGCGTGTTCTCCACGTAAATATTGAACGCTGGTACAGTGTCATATTAACATAGACTTTATAATAAAGAACCGCCGATTGCGCGTTTGGACGACAATAGCGCTGTCATACTAACGTGGGGATGGAGCCGAAGAAAGGGTAAATACTCCTACTTAAATCGGTAGGATTAATATGCCGAGAAAAAATAAACATTTTAGAGTGTTGGCTGAAACTCTCAGTAGTGGCCCGGACGTTGCTCCGCGACCCCAGTGCAGCCTTCTCACTCCTCCTCTCCCTCCTGCCCACGCTGGACCCCGCTTCTCAGTTGGAGAGATTTAAGGACGTGTTAAATGCTGCCTGAGGTAATACACCAACACGTGGCTTGAGTAGTCGTAGGAGCGAACCCCGGTCTGGGAAGCTGGGTTACGGAGTGAGCCCACTTCTTCCACCTGCCCCCAAACTTTTGCACACAAAGACTGCAGAAACACAGAATTAACATACACAGCGAGTATCTAGATCAGTATCTGAAAGCAGCCCTGTTCCCCTTCTTTTGCTTGCATACTTCAAAAACTATCTCTGTTCATTTTCTTCTTTGAAGCTCTTTAGCTCCAATCTTGTAAGCAGTTACAGATGTGTTTATCCATGGCATTCAGTCCCATGGAATCTACAGGAATATATGCTGTACATCAAGATAAATGCGTACATAACAATTTGCAGAATAACGGCCTTATTTTCTACAGTGAAGAAAAAAGAAAAAAAAATTCAACTCAAGTCCTACGCTTCTTTTATAAGCAAAGCTAATCTGCAGTTTCATGAAATGTGATATATTAGCTGGTTTACTTCCCAAAGAAATGTCTGATCTCTCTTCTTCCTGAATCTGCGACATCTTCTAGAAATGTTATCTGACTTTGCATGCTGTTGCAGAATACGAATGATCATCTACTGACACGCTAACCAGTTTAAGTGTAGGGAACACCAGTTTATAAGGAATTTACCAGTTTCCTTGTATAGTCTTTATGCTTACTTATAGGTATCCTGTATAAGGATTATATATAGGTCTGCTCTCTCTGGAAGGAACTGAGTCTTTGCTTTTATCTTGCAGCCCAGTCTAACAAAGGCTTGTAGCCTTAACTGTGCTTAATTATGAGTATGGTGATACACTTGCTAATTGTGTTTGTACATCGTAGGAGAACTAAGATTTTGCTCCATGACTAGCATTCCCACATATTTGCTGCTGTGTTATGTGGCTGCCCACCTGTTATAACAGGCCAAAGAACAGAAATATTTTATTACTTGAAAATAGCCTTCATTATTTGTTGACTGAAATTTGAGGCAGAAAGGTAGAAAACTGTTGCTGTGTGAGTTGGAAAAAAAAAAAAGGAAACACACTGACACAGTAGAATAACATCCAAGGCTACAGGTTTAAAATGTCAGTTTCTATATGTTTCATTAAACCTTTTAAAAGTGGGCACAAAAGAAGTGCCTGAGTGCTTTTAAGATTTTGTATGCATGCTGTCAATATATGGGCATTAGTAAAATAGGCAGTGTCTCTCTCTATCACTTTCTGCACTGGTTTTTAACTCATGTCTGTACCCATCAGCAGCACAGGGAGGTATTCAGGCAAAGAACAGAAGTAACCTGCAATACAGTGGAACGCTTTGGGTTTCATTTATAATTATTTTTATTTTTTTAATCACATTTTTAATTAAATGCAATTGAATAGTTAGAAGTTCCACAGGTTAAGGTTTTTGTGAAGCCTTCTCAGAAAAGTGGTGCCAGGCAGTTGGGCTATCTGGCTCCCTTTTAAAGAGAGAGGTGACAGCACAGGAGCATTGTGCTAGCCTTCTTGATATACAAATAACAAACACATAACTCTCCAGGCTGAGATCTTCCAAAACCAGCTGAGGAAGTCAGTCACACAACTCATCTTTGACAATATTAGTCTATAAATTGAAAGGCCAGTATCAAAGAGGATATGTAAAAGATTTAAGGCTTATGCTAGTAAGAAGCCACGAGGCTAATTCCTTTCAAGCCAAGTTGAAATAGCACCATTGAAATACTGGAGGAAGGCATGAGTGACGGGAGCCAAGGCTGTTTATATTCACCTCCAACTTTGGTCCCATTACTCAAAGAAAGCATTGAGAGGTTTGCAGCCCCCCTCCACCCCTCCTTGGTCTTCTTGTCAGTCTGGAGACTTATGATAAGAAGGTGCTCCTAGGTACTGTGCTAAGTAGCTCATGTGCCTCGACTCATCCATCATTCTAAAACTGCACATTACTAGATTAACCTCTTCTTCATATTAGTAATGATGGGTTTCTAAAATGTAGCTTAACCAGATACAGGTCAAGGGAGGTATTAATTTCTTAATTTGTTCTCAAATGCTACACTCTGCAAGTAGTTCTATGTACAGAATGCTATATATAACCATTTGGATGAGAAATTTCAAAGGCATGAGACTCCAAAGAAACAATTTGTGTACATCTGGGAAAAAATCTTGGCTTTTTTTTCATTTGTCCACAGTTACAAGAGTGGACATGTATTTCATGGGTATTGCCTCTGAAGCTTGCAGCTCCTTTGGTCTTTCTGCAAAGGTTGTTGGAAAATGCACCAGATCATGGATTATCTTTTCAACAAGATCGTGGTAATGAGTCCCAGTTGTTCAAAACTTCCCCCAGGCCATCAACATCTTGTATGCAATCTTATTTTATGATCTTATAGGGTAGGATTTCAGTTACTCATACAAAATACCGGAGCATGTCTCACCTTAACTGCATTGCTATGGAGATAGCCCTCCCTAGACAAGTATCAGAAAAAACATGGATAACCTTCAGGCAGCATAGTTTCCAATTCTATACTGGGTTATACTGTGGCCAGCACAGAGCTGATGAGAGACCCCCATAAAGCTGTGGTTTATGTTACGTTAAGATTGCACACAAACACTTTTCAGTATTCACACTGGTGGTTTACAGTCTTGGAAGAAAAGCTCTATAAATGAGCAACCTTATTGTATATCATGCAGCTGGGTACAGTTCATCCAAACTGGGGGCAGGCACATTGCAGCTTTCCAAGTCCTAACTTTTTCTCATTTTTAATCTGAGTGATTCATCCTGCATTCATCTGAGTATATCAAAGGTTTACAGACAGACTTTATCATACTGACCCCACTCACACAAGAAAACCCCACACAGTAAAGGGCTCAGAAAATGTCCTTCTATGCCAAGCCCAGAAACATATTTATACAGGTCAGAAATACAGGCAAGAAAGACCACATCACCTCACATCAGTCAGTGCTCCACTGACCCTTCCAGCCTCAGTCAGGTATTTCCGTGATCATAGTCAGGTTCACCTTGCATAGTTCAAAGTCAAGGATACACATGGCTCTTAATCCCTTCTGTTTAAGTGCTCAAATCACCTACACTTCATAGCCTACTAACGTGTTGGTCAAAGAACATCAAAAAGGTACTCAAAGTACTATGAACTCACAGATCCAGCTTTCAGGTGGCTGTTACTTAAAAGATCAAGTGGGAGATAACTGTTTCCAAGCCACAGGTTGCCAGAGTAGCAGAGGAAATTAGCAGACTATAGTCTGTTGGCTTTGCAAGGTTTGCACAAAGAAGTGCCACTCCTAACAGGGGACCATTGTGTCCTTTTGAGGCTTGCAAGTGGGCCATGGGGAACAGACTGGGACAGCAGTCTTACCTTTAGTGGTTTTGGGGTTGGTTTTGTTTTGGTTTTGTTTTTTGTCCAGAAGACATTTTCAATAACATGTCAGGTTGAACATATGGCATTGGGGAATACACCTGCTGCTTAGTTAAAAAATTGCTGCAAAGAAAAATGCTAAGGGAAAGACTTTCTAATTAAAAGCCGAAACAGCCAAAACACTGGATTGTAAAACAAGCTGACACATGGTGATTTGTGCTGGCTTAAACATACCAAAAAAAGGAACTTTCCTTCCATCATTCTCCTCTGCTTCTTCAGCCTTGCATCACCTGTATAAATGGCCTTACTACTTGAGTCCAGTGGCATTAAGCATCATTTATGTTTAGTTTATAATTAGAGATGGCCAGATGACTACATATGGCTGCAGCTTGGACAAATTTTATTTTTGCTTTTACAAAGGAACAGACACAAGAGGAAAGGCCATGCTGCCACT